CGGGGTCCCCGCGCCGGGTACCGGGACAGGGGGAGGCGCGGCCGGGCGGTGAGAAGTGCCCTCTTCTTTTCCGAGCTGGGTCGGCTGGTCCGCTCACCTTGTGGCTCTGGTAAGTCTCGAGCGCCCGGATCGCTGTCTCGGTGAGCTTCACATGCAGTACAGTGATGTTGTCCTGCCCTAGCCGCCCGCACGACAGTCCGTAGCGCTGCTCCTCCCGCAGGCCCGCCGCCCCCCCTGCCGCCATCTTAAACTCCCCGGGGTGCCACCGCCGACGCCGCTCGGGCTCTAGCCTCCACTGCGGCCGCGGCTGCTCGGGCTTCTGCAGCCGCCGCCACAGCTACGGCCATCCCGCTGCTGACGTACTGTCATATACTGCGCGCAGCCAGACCTCGGGCTGCCACCGCCGCCACCCGCCCCACCCTCTGGCCCCGCGCCCCGCCCCGGGCTCGTCTCATTGGCCGTGTTCCCCTCAGAGCTGCCCTCATTGGCCGCCCTCCACTCTCACGGGGGCGGGGCCCAAAGTCGCTGGAGTTTGGTTCCCGGGACGGGACGTCCGAGAAATGAGAGGCTGATGTCGGGGTGACGCTCCAACTTAATCACACCTGACGTCACGTGTGGTTGTCTTGATCGTGATTGGCCGGGTTGGTTTGGGGATCCCCTGCTAATTGGGTATCCAGGCTGCCTGGTTTGGTTACCTAAGTCGGAGCCACACCCCTTTGCGGGGAGGGGATACTGGCAAGTAAGGGCAGTAGAGAGTCTGGATACACTGATGGTACTTGGAGAGGAGGATCCCCACTTCAAAGGTGTGAGGGCATGACAAATGACAGTGTAAACACTTTGTCCCTCGACGGCTGCGGAACCTTGTAGAGCTTGGCGTGTGCAGGTGAAGACAGTCGCTGAAGAGTTTCTCCAAACTAAGTTCAGTACTGTGGTTGAGCAGATGTGATGGGAAGGACGCCCTTAGTCATTTTACTCTAAACTTGAGGCTAGTGAGTTGACCCTGGGTATTAGGGATTGTTTTAAATTGTGTGAAGTATCTTAAATACAATGCCATGACGAAGGTTTATTTTATTTTATTTTATTTTTGCGTGGGTTTAGCATAACAGAGAATCATTCCTATGGAATAAGTTTCCCTGGAGCTTGCCATATATAGTCCGGATCATGCCTTTTAATGGAATAGGGAGAAGCACCCCTGGTTCGAAGGATACCTTTTGTCAGAGGTCCCTGGAAGGGTAGAACTGGCTTGACCTAAATTGAAAGAAACGTTGACATCACTTTCTCTAGAGTTCGGTTCATCTTATTTGATAGGGCTGTGGAAAAAACAGCTATAAGATCAGTAGAGGGGCCCCTGAGGTTAAATGGAAGAAATGGGTCCAGGCGGATGCAGAGGCCTGGCATAGTCGACATTCCAGCTGATGCTGTATATGGAGGGTGTGGCTAAAGGAGGGAGCTTAATCTAGAGTCCTCTTCAAGCAGTGTGTAGATAGACTGACAGATAGGCTTTAGGAAATGATGAATTAATTGAGTGATCAGAAACACCAGATTAAAAAAAAACCATTGAAAGGTTTGAAATGATTAAGAGGCAATCTAAGAAGATACTTTTAAAAAATTTGAGATGCTTATCTTTACAGTTGTTAAAATTTTTTTTGCATTTTTGCTGGAATTCCCTGGGAAAATTTATAGGTATTTAATCATTCTAAATAGAATTAGTGCTCCAATTTTCCATGATTCCACACCCTCCACCACTCACACATATGAATACATCCCTTCCCCACCCTACAGGTACACTGTCTTTTGATTCAAACCCTTGCATTGTATGAGTATAAAGTAAATTTCAGAACAATTTTTTTCCCCATAGCATTTGAATTAAGTGAAAGTGCTTGTGTTAGATGTTGTTTTATCACAGGAGAGCTGTTTGTAAATTGACTTAACTGCAATATACTAGAATATATTGGCTAGCTCTTAAGACATGATTAACACTTGTTAATTTAGTTTACTTTAGTGTTAATACAGAGTGTCAAGTTATCTTAAATTTATCAAATAGGGAAATTAAGACAATCACAAAAAAATTGGATTAAGAATTTTACTTTTAGAAGGCAAATAGAGGCTTTATTAGCTGGTTTTCTCAGCTTTCCAGAAGCATAAATCCTACCCAACTACTTCATATCTAAGTGAACTATAAAATTATTTTTTTCTCTTGTTTGCTTTACTTCCATAGAAAAGGACTGACCATGTATCTAAAGCCTTAATTATTGGGGTGAGGGGAGGTTTGACCAGAACAAGTAAAGTCTGTATCCTGCTGTTTTTTCTGTGAAGGTGGGTAAATTCCTGCCCACGTAAAATCCTAACTTGGTCTTCTGTTACTCAGAACTTCTGATAACTTCCAAGGTGGGCAGGGAACAAGGGTAATTTTCACTGTCGTTTTCAAATGTCTACAGTATGGCCTCTTATTAGTAATTGATTTTTTCCCTTTTATTTTTAGTTTTATTGATTTTATTTTTTTAAAATACATGACAGTGGAATGATTTTTTTCTTAATTGTGGTATGAAAAATTTTCTCCTGCCCTATTTTAGTGGATAACAGATCTTTAATGGACAATATATTATTGTAGTGGGTTAATGTTTGTATTCCTTTGAGCTTTTCAACTGTAGAAGGATTCAATGATCATGTACAAAGTAATATGGTAATTTAGTAGTTCTCTTAATGAACATCTCACAGGCATAGCATGAATTTATGCCTGCCTGAGTCATATGGTCAAGTTGGGCTGTTCATAAGGATAATTATTTTGGAGAGGGCTGATGAAAGTTGCTGTTTGAGAAAGTTATCATTGTATATATATTTTCTGTATTTTTATTCAGTTTAAATAATTAATTATTAAATTCCTGCTAAATGTAGCACACTGTAGAGAATTTAAAAAGTAAACATTATAGTCTTTAAGGGAATTTTCTGTTTTACACCAACATACTCAAAGCAAAACAATTAGATAATTAATAAACACTAATTTAGATGGTGTTGGTGATAACCTCAAAAATCCAAAGAAAGGAGACATCTGAAGAGGTTTTGTGGTAATGGTGGAACTTGAAAATCTCTTGAGGGCAGGGTAGATCCTAAATAAGTGGAGATGGAGAGAGGCCAAATAAAAATGATATTTATGATCATTGTAGCAGAACCCATGTGAATAAGAAAGCAGAGACCCTGTTAATTTTAAAGTATCCTGCCTAACCTATTATAATCAGAAGAGGCAGTCTCTGAATCACTTTCTAAGTGTCCTTCTAGTACCTATATGTACCAAGTAGCTATTGTTTGCATTTAACTGAGAAGAAATCTGTCTTATAAGATAGTTAAGGGCAGGCAAAGACAAAATTAATCTGACACAGGGCCCACTCTCTTTCTGATGTCTAATATACAGTTGTAGGCAGAGGATATCTGAACATTAAGGTCTTCCTTCTCTGGTCTTCAGACAACAGAATACCTGATATCCCCGAATGGTGCATATTTAATGATCATCTCTGACATATTCAGGACTGAGGTCACTAATTTAGACACGTGTAGGACCAGTGAGTTTCCAAGGGAGGGAAATAATCCAGATAAAATGTCATAGGCACTGAAGTTGCTAGACTATGATAAGCTGGGGGTGTTTAAAGAATTCAGTCATTTCATTAGGATAATTTTTTACCACAAAATTTTTAAAAAAGAGAGAATTTAGTGGTTTCTTGGTTCAATTGATTGTTCAAGTGAACATGCATGGGGGGCCCATGTTGCTTGATTTAATTTTTCAAGAAGAGATTGAAAATAAAGATTTTATATGAACCTCCTGATTTTTATTTGTTAGCATCTTTTAAAAATTTATTTATTTATTTATTTTTACATTTGAATCAAATGGGGTATAATTTCTCATTTTTCTGATTGTACAGGTTGCAGAATCACATTGGATGCAGTTGAAGTAGGTCACCTTGTTAGCATCTTAATAAAAGATTTTGATATATATTTTCTGGACACTAAATATATCTTTGAGTTGGGCATGGTAGTGCATGCCTGTAATCTCAGCCACTTGGAAGGCTGAGGCAGGAGAATCACAAGTTAGAGGCCATCCTGAGCAACTTAATGAGACCCTGTCTCAAAATCAAATTAAAAAGGTGTGGGAAATGGGAATGGAGGTCAGAGGTAAACACTTCCCTAGCATGATGAAGACCCTAGATTCAATCCCCACTATTGCAA